TCAACAAACCTCCTCATAACAACCTTCCAATAAGCAGCCATCCTCATTTTCAGATCAAAAGCTTGAGGTAACATAAGAGGGTACTGCCTCAGAGCTTCAACTTCCACCTCCCCAATACCTTCTATAGTTATAGTAGAAGGGCGTATGTTGTTATCTAAGACCCCATCTATGAAGGTCTTCTGGTGAGCCATGAGCCTATTCCATTCAGCAACATACTCAGGATCACATGTATAATCCGTAAGCTTCTCCATATCCACAATTTCCGTCATCCACTTAATCGACCTTTCTTTCATCTTGGCCATCAGATTGTGTCCAGCTCGCCTCGCACATAGTTGAAGCTGATAATAATTATCCGAATGCCTCATCAACACAGAAATAACCACTTCCTCAATGTAAGTCCAAACCTGCTCCACAAACCCAATTGGTATGCCCGAAATTCCGCTCACTTTTCCCTGCAAGATAGTAAGAAAAGCATTGCGAGGAAGAAAATTCGGAAGTGCTATACCTTTCACTTCCTCCAATGCCTTGATCTCTTCTATCAAGAAGTTATTCTTCGGGTCGCTTTGAACACAATTGTGAAGTGCATCTGAGTACTGATTGAGCATTTCAACCAATCTAGCAGTGCAATGCATGTGTCTGTCTTCAAAGTACTCTTCAAATTCTCCTCTCAGAAGAATCTTCCTTAGAGATTCTTTGGCCAAACCAATGATCTGCATGAAAGCTGTCATGGCCTCAGCAACAGAGGAAAGATTCTTTGGCATTTTATTCAGTTCAGAAAGGCAGTAATTCAGCTTTTCATTAATCTTCTTCACAATTTCCGGCAAGTTTCTTGCTATGCTGTTAGCTTGAATTTGCACCAACTTTTGCGCCAAAACTGGAATACCGACAATGGATTTGTCGATCTTCGACAGAAGAGGATGACTCTGAAATAGTTCATGAGCAATGGCCCGTGCCTCCTCATATGTTTCATCTCCAATGCGGTTCCTCACACAGACATAACCAAGTCCGATGTTGACATCATCTCCCGTGACCTTCTCGAGCAGTCCCTCAGGTGCCTTATCAACTTTTGTAACCACAGCCAGCGTCCTTTCACCAGTCTTATCCACACTCTGCGACATCCTAATCGATTCACAGGTGGCAAAATCGACACTGGCAGACAACACATTCAGAATGATACTCTCTTCTGGCTTTATATATTCCATGATCATATCTTTGATTTGATCATAAATATTTTCAGGCTGCCCATGAATAGGCACTCTAGTAATACCAGGCAAATCCACCATAGTCAAATCAGGAACACCCTTCTTTTTCACCAACAGAGTCAATGGGGTGTTAGAAATTCCCTTACCTCCCCCTGCAATAGAATTAGTGGCTCTAACAATATCATCAGTCACGTTGTCTTCATCGGTACGATCAGTTCTGCCGCTGTACTCCAAGGAAAGCTCTGGCTCAGGACTTGAGTGGTGCTGCAGCCTCATTATAAGGGGTACCCTTGTGCAGATGCCTTGACCCCGAGGGAGGCTGATGCCGGCCAAAGATTCGAGGACACTAGACTTTCCAGATGACTGGTCCCCAACCACCACAATTGTTGGGAGCTGAATGCCTTCATCCATTATCATCAAGTTACGGAGTTTGTCCACCGCGTCAAGTAGGGGACGGATTTTGTCATTGTAGGAGGACACAATAGGTGCGCAGTTGATAGGTACTGCATCTGGTTCTGCCTCAACCAGCGCGAATGACCCTTCACCATTCAAAACTGCAGCATTTGGTGTTGTCATGGACGGATTAGCTTGCTTTCCTCCTCCCATATCTGAATTGTAGCAAGAAAATAGTTCAGAAAGAGAGAGAGAGATATAGAGAGATAGGGAGATAGTGGAGGTTGTTGATGAGAAGAGAAATGAGACAAGAGATGGATATGTTTGTCATGAAACTAGGTAGCTATTTATAAATGTTCAACCAGACCACTGTGTTATTCTTCTGGGCTAAGCGACTTCCCCGTGCGGTCTTTCAACATTTGGAAAACCCAAAGTCGTGGTTTGCTCATTTCATTTCATGCACTTACCAGTTTATGCACATACACGACATGAAAATTTTACTTTGATAAAGCAAAAAAAGGAATCAGCTTTACTTTGATAAACCAAAGTTGTGGTTTCCTCACTCTCAAAAACTTCTCTCCTCTCCACCACCCTCTTCCGAGTAGCTGTAGCTTTCTCTTTCAATGAAAAAGGAAACTTCTCTCCTCTCCAACACAACTTTGGGTTTGCTAAATGTTGGAAGACAAAGCTCATGTCCCTTAGCCCAGCAGAAAAATTATATTGGCTTTTGAATGGATGACTGTCCATTTGTTTAACTAAAATTTGATAAATGATATATATTAATTGAACATTTGTTTTTTTGGTCCCCAATAATGAACATTTGTTTCCTTCCAACAGACAAAAGCAAGCACATGAATTAGTACATTTCTTAGTTACTCACACTGTTTGCCTCACTTCTTCAGGGCCTGCAGCAGGATATTGATTCCTTAATGTAGAAGTAGATTCCTTAAAGTAGAAGCAGATGAACTAGAGTGCTTTTTAAAAGAAATTAGAATTGTTAAGGGAAAAAATTGGTGTTGGTGATGTGGGTGTCCTGGAAAGTGGGAATGTAAAGGACTAGGTATAGCTTTAATTTGGGAGGACTTGAGTCCAGCATGAATTTGAAAAGTTTTCTAGTACTCCTATAAAATTAAAGCTATACCTTAGCAGTGGGCTGAGTAAGTCTAGAAAAAGGCATGGTACTATTTGTGCTATAGAGAGGGTGTCAGCAATGCGGTAAGTAAGAGCATCTCCAAGGAAGATGTAAAATGACTTGAAATGGACATTTTACATCTCAAAAACAAATTTAGAACTCCAATCGGCCGGAATATTTAGGATATAAATTTACATAGCACTGGAAAGTGTAAAAATTTCATAGATATACATTATTTTTTACATCTCCATGGTCTCACTGACACAAATACATGAGTGGCTAACGCAAGGAGCTAAAGCTCTACCCACTCACGAGTTTATCAATACTTGCTCACATCTTCTTCAAGTTTGCACCACCACTGATTTTTATTTATTTATTTTATACAAGCGATAATTTATTTTAATCTAATCTAAACTATGGGGAGAGGGGTTTGAACTTGAGTGCAGAGTGGGGAGTACATTCGTTTTAGCCAATTTGGCTAAACCCATGTTTCCCCCTCTACGAACTCTTTCGACTAATTAAAAATGAGTTGTGGGGCGTCCACAAATTCAATTCAAAACATCTAACAACTATCCAATCAACGACTCCCAATTTTTTAATTTTTACCTCAATCTAAGGGTTGAATTAATAATTAGTTTTAAATTCAAATTAAACATAACATTAATCAAATCCAACGGTAAAAAAAAGTCTAAATTACACTCCAAATTTAATCCCAGTCACCACTAATACCACCAAAATCATATTAGATTCATATTTTTGTTGATTTTCTCCCAATATATCTACATTTTTGTTCATACTTTGGATATCCACATCATTCTTCATTCCTTGTATTTAATTAAGTTGTTCAAAAATTCCAATAAAAATAAATCAAATACACTTTTTGACATTTCTCCTCTCCAATGAGAGAATGTAAATTCCAGGACAAAAAGGCATATTTAGCATCCCAAGATTTTACATTTTCCTACTGAAATTCCATCTTTCAGACAAAAACAAAAAGAAAAAAGAAGAAGAAAAACATCTTGGAATATTCCAATCAAGATGCCACCGGAGATGTAAAAGTGCAATTTACATCCTCAATTTAAATCTTTGCATTGGAGATGCTCTAAATGTCATACACATTTAACCCATAATCACATTATAAGTTAAGTTTGACATGGTACTTTCAAATATGGCCAAAAACTCACTTAAATAGACCATCAAAATGAAAATAGAGAAAGAAAAAAAATGTCGTGAATCAATTGGGAGACATCATCCATGCTCGGTCATACATTTAATTTTTTTTCTTCACGAATCACCACATTGCATATTAAAGAACCTATGTAAAACACAGCCAGTGAACATCTCTACGTGAATATTTGTGCAGCAATTGAACAAAACTTGACCAAGTTATGACTTCAAATGTAAAAATGTATCAAAACAGGAAGATATAAAGAACATGAAATGCAAATAGACGGCATCCCGATCAAGTTGGTTTCCATTTTCTCTAACAATAAGGTTCGAGTACCAGAATTAAACAATTTTTTTCTTTCTTTCATATAACTTTGGCAATAACAGATGAAAAAGGGTGGAAGACCGCAGTCTCGGCCTGCCAACACCTTGTATGTTCTTATTTTTCATGTTTGTTCCTCATATTTTCTTGAGCAAACTCTAAAAAATAAAAATAAAAATAAGCAGCAGCAGAAGAGAAGCTCCAGAAATAAATGTTACAAGGGAATGCTGTTTTGTTTTTTTTCGTTTCATTCCATCCAAATCCCAAGTGTATAAATTTAGGAAACACTAGAAAATCCAGTTTATTTGGAGAAATTGCCTCTACTTCAATCTATTTTGTGACATGACCTTTTTTTTATTTTGGCAGAAAACTTCATGTAACTTAGCATGAATAGATTACTGAATAAGTCTAGATCAAACAGTAACAAATCGAAAACGAAAATAATAATCCGAATTAGATTTCTTCGTAACTGCTTTTAACTAACATAGTAGAAAACACAATAACGAGTTTATTTAGCTACATTGATAGGATTAGAGGACTGCTTCAAGTTAAGTAAATGGTAATGAAAGCAGAAAATATGAGAGGCAACAAATCCTGCTTAACAGTAGGAAGAAATCAACACTTCAAATTCATTGAAAATACTAAATAGGTACCAGAACCACAACAGTCGACGCCTATAACAAAAGCCCTCAAAAATAAAATCAGAAACAAAAAACCACAACAAAGGACAAACAAACTTCCATCTTTAATTTTAATAGACCACACATAAAGTTTGGAAAGCTGTTTAATCGCCATAAGAATTGATGCTGTCCATGATCTTCGCTACAACCTCCTTGGAGTCTCTCAACTTCTTGATACTCTTATTAAGTTTCTCACGCTTCACCGCTACAGCCGGCGACTCCTCTAACATTCTCTCAATGCCACCACCGTAAGGACCCATCAACTCATTAACAATCTCAGCTTCAATTTCCTTGTTCACCAGGTTGGATACAGACAGCTGCAAATGCAGCGCCATACAGTCAACAAACCTCCTTAAAACAACCTTCCAATAAGCAGTCATCCTCATTTTCAGATCAAAAGCTTGACCTAATACATGAGGGAACTGCCTCAAAACACGAACCTCCACTTCCCCAATACCTTCTATAGCTACAACAGAAGGGCGTTTCTCATCATTTAACACCCCATCTATGAAAGCATTCTGATGAGACATCAGCCTGTTCCATTCAGTAGCATACTCCGGATCACATGTATAATCCGCAAGCTTCTCCATGTCCACAATTTCCTTCATCCACTTTATCGACCTTTCCTTCATCTTAGCCATCAGATTATGTCCAGCACGCCTCGCTGATAGTTGAAGCTGATAATAATTTTCTGACTGCCGCATCAACACAGAAATAACCACTTCCTCAACATAACTCCACACCTGCTCCACAAACCCAATTGGTATGCTCGAAATTCCCCTCACCTTTCCCTGCAAGATAGTAAGAAAAGCATTGCGAGGAAGAAAATTTGGAAGAGCTATACCTTTTGCTTCCTCCAATATCTTGATCTCTTCAACCAAGAAGTTCATCTTAGGGTCACTTTCATCACATTTGTGAAGTGCATCTGAGTACTGATTGAGCATCTCAACCAATCTAGCAGTGCAATGCATGCGCCTGTCTTCAGGGTACTCTTCAAATTCTCCTCTCAGAAGAATCTTCCTAAGAGATTCTTTAGCCATGCCAATGATCTGCATGAAAGCAGTCATTGCCTCAGCAACAGACGAAAGACTCTTTGGCATTGTATTCAGTTCAGAAAGGCAGCAATTCAGCTTGTCATTAATCTTCTTCACAATTTCCGGCAAGTTTCTTGCGATGCTGTTAGCTTGAATTTGCACCAACTTTTGCGCCAAAACTGGAATACCGACAATAGATTTGTTGATCTTCGACAGCAGAGAATGAGACTGAAATAATTCATGAGCAATGGCCAGTGCCTCTTCATACGTTTCATCTCCAATGCGATTCCTCACACAGACATAACCAAGTCCAATGTTGACGTCATCGCCAGTAACCTTCTCAAGAAGTCCTTCAGGTGCCTTGTCAGCTTTCGTAACCACAGCCAGCGTCCTTTCCCCAGTCTTATCCACACTCTGCGACATTCGAATCGATTCACAGGTAGCAAAATCAACACTTGCAGACAACACATTCAAAATGATACTCTCCTCTGGCTTTATATACTCCATGATCATGTCTTTGATCTGGTCATAAATATTTTCAGGCTGACCATGAACTGGGACCCTAGTGATCCCAGGCAAATCCACCATAGTCAAATCAGGAACACCATTTTTCTTCACTAACAGCGTCAATGGGGTGTTAGAAATTCCCTTCCCTCCCCCTGCAATAGCATTAGTTGCCTTAACAATATCGTCGGAGATGTTGTCTTCATCAGTAGGATCAATTCTGCCATTGTACTCCAATGAAAGCTCTGGCTGAGGGCTTGAGTGGTGCTGCAGCCTCATTATCAGAGGTACCCTTGTGCAGATACCTTGACCCCGAGGGAGGCTGATGCCAGCCAAAGATTCGAGGACACTGGATTTTCCAGATGATTGGTCCCCAACCACCACAATTGTTGGGAGCTGAATGCCTTCATCTATTACCATCAAGTTACGGAGCTTGTCAACCGCATCGAGGAGGGGACGGATTTTGTCGTTGTAGGATGACACAATAGGAGCACAGTTGATAGGTACCGCATCTTGTGATACCGGAACCAGTGCAACTGAGCCCTCACCATTTAAAATTGCAGCACTTGGTTTTCTCTTGGAGGCAGTAGCTTGCTTTCCTCCTACCATATCTAAATTGTAGCAGGCAAAGAGTTGAAAGAAATAGAGAGCGAGATAGAGATTGAGAGGGAGTGAGAGTGATGATTTGTTGATCAGAATAGAAATGAGACAGGTTATTATATAGATACGTTTGTCATGAAACTAGCTATTCATAATTAATTCTTAAACCACACCTCTGGACAATTCCAAATTCCAAATTAATATTTATTTATTCTTTGGAATTGGAAAATGTATCAAATATCGTAAATGATCAAACCACATCCCATGCGTCTCTGGACTTGTAAACGTTCAGCAAATCATATCCCATGCGTCTTTGGAGTTTCAATCTGTGCAATTATTAAGTATTACGTGCCCTTTGGTCTTTCAACATTCATGCACTCATCAGTTTCTGCACGTAATACATGATATGACAACAATGTTCCGAAGTTCCCTCCGAAAAAAATAAATGTTCTATTCTGTGCTTTATTTATAATATATATCTAAAGGGATTTCCGACATCCAGACCTTTTCCATTTTTATTTGCCTCGGCAAGATCCTCTGATTCGTCCAACCGTAACAAAGTAAACAACCCAGCAAATAATCTACATACATTAATACATTAATCCTTAAAATTTAGAGTAATTTAGACTGTAATTTGTAGATATAAAAATGGAAGAATGACACTTACACACTTTTTTTTTTGGTTTGGTCACATACGCACATCAGTCACACACCTGAAAAGCCTTTTTGCTACTATAATTCTTGGACTAAAAGGCTTTATACGAGGCCCAGGGCTTTTCTACTATAATTCTTGGAAGAAAAAAAGGTACATGTTAGTGATTTAAGGGAAAATATGAAATTAATTCTTCTAAAAAGCATTTAGATTTTAATAAATATTTTATATACATATAAAATCATCAATCTTTGAATCAAAAAAAAAGAAAAAGGAAAAGGGGCTTTGTTAAAACAATTTAAAACCTAAGAGGGTGTTTGTATAATTTTTGAAACCTCATGGAGTTTCCGAACAATTCGAAAAAAAAAATTGAATAGAAGCATGATTTTAGAACAAGAAGTCGAATGTGAAATATTGAAAATTGTAGATCAGAGATGAAGAATATAGTTGAACCTGAGAAAGCACCAGCGAGAAAGGAGAAAATGAATTTGATTTGGTTTTTTGCCACATCTGATATGGTTTTTTGGCAGATCTGCTTTGCTTTTTTGGCAAATATGATTTTTCTGTCTTAAATCCGTAGTACAAGGGTAATGTAGGTATTTTACACACACAAATAAACTGAAAAATAGCTATTAAATTGAAAAAAAAAATTCCACAACTGTAGATTTCTGGGGGGAGTGTTTATAGTTTTTAAATAGTATAGGATTTCTTTACCCAATATAGGGGCACAAATTTAAAAAAAAATCATATATGATATTGACTTTAGAAACACACCCAAAGTCCATTTACAACCTAACAAAAAAGCTTTTAACTTCTTATAAATTACAAAACTGTTGTCAATTTCTTAAAACAAGCTCAACCCCAAAACCTCATTAAAAAACTCAAAACACTCAATATGGCATCAAAGTAATTTAATAATCAAAATTAAATTCAATAGAGGCAGCTGTCATTTTTTGGATTTTTTTTTTTTTTGGTTTGTTTATAGAAATTAAATGGTGTAGGGTTTATCTATATTATTAGTACTAAGCATGAGTATACAACTAAATAAGGTAAATTACTCAAATGATCCTCAAATTTGTACCCGATTTACATTTTGGTCCATAAACTAAATTATTCATTCAAATGGTCCACCAACTCTTTATTAATCGGTGCTTTGGTCATACAATTACATTTTATGTTAAATTTAGTCATTTCAGCAGCACATGCTACATTTGTAGGAGTAAATAAGACTTTTGACTTATGTATCACCCCTTTATCACCACTGTATCATCTATGTATCACCACTATATCACTACTTCATCACAACTTTGTCACATATAACCACTTTATCACATATTTGGGGTACATAGGACGGTTATGGATGGGTTTACCCTTACATTTGACGGTAACATTAACATAATGTAACGGTAGGATCAATGGAGCGATTAATATAGAGTTGATTGACCATTTGAATGAAAAATTTAATTGAAGGACCAAAATGTAAATCGGGTATAAGTTTGAGAACCATTTTGAGTAGTTTACATTAACTAAATATCTCTTATTTTAGAGGTTTTAATTAATTTTACGTACATAATGCCTAATTTAGAGTAAAATTGGAAGAAATGTTGAGGATTTAGACAATAGAAGGAACAATGGCAAAAAAGAGAGTTTATATCCTTAATTTTCTGAAAAAGAAAAAGAAAAAAAGGTTAGAGGCAATTGAAAATTCGTGGTATTTAACACCAAAAAAAAGAAGAAGGTACATTCAGGTTTAAATCAACAGTTTAGCCTATTTCTTAATCATACATTGGTTTTGCCTTACTTTGTACTCTTTCTAAATGCACATATTTATTTGGTTTGCCAATTCTTCTTCAGCATGGGCATTATTGGAGTTTAAAATGTCGCATCATATGATCTCCATACCAAATCATCCAAAACCTTATTTCAAATTCAAACCCTAATCCCGGTCCCTGAGGCATTCCTCCCAAACTCTCAACTCTTCCCTCTCTCTGAACACCTCAAAATTTGTTCACCCATCGACAATGGCGGACCACGATTGCAAAGACTTGGATATGGGGTTCTCTCTCTCTCTCTCTCTCTCTCTCTCTCTCTCTCTCTCTCTATGCCTCTGTTATAACACTCGTAGTTGTTTCTGTGTTTGTGTATATGAATTTGAACCTCCTCAGCAACCCTCTCAGGTTAATGTATTTGTTTTTGTGCAGATATGAAGATAAGCCACTAGAGCCAGAGAGTGAAGTAAGGATTCAATGCTTTCTGTTTACTATAATCTTATTTTTAAAATATCTGAATTAAGTATATAGGAAAGAAACTTAGCATACAGTATTAGTTATGTGTATCTTAATATGAAAGTAAAAGTTGCTGAAGAAGAATAATGGAACAATGGACAGGGAGGTGCAGATGAGTATCTGGAGAGTATAATCTTGGGTACCCGTGCTCTGCAGGTCAGGTATTTGAAATTCCTAACCTTACCTTTTCTGTCCAAAATTTGATTTGGTTTGTTAAGTTTTGGCTCTGACCGATCACAAATTTTTAATCTTTGGATGAGCAGCATGAATACCCCTGTGATGATTGAATTGGAGGGTGAGACTCACCCACCTGAGGTAACATTTCCCTAGAGCTAGCTATAAATACTCTATGCTTTATGATTTAATCCCTTGTAAATCCTAATGTAGCATATAGGTGAATTGTAGATTTAATCAGATTAGCAGAAGCAAAAACAAAGAAAACAGAAAATTAGACGAATAAAGATTGGTTTGGAATCACTCTAAGGGTTTCACACCCATTCTTGGCATCACACCAAGGGTTTGGCTTCTCACCAGAATTTCCATCTCTCGAAAATAAACTTTTACTCTATAACTCAACTATCCTCCAATGAATTACATGGGTTATTTATAACAAATCCTACTTAAAGCATGACTTAAGAACCCAATAAACAGGGACCTAATTTTGTGAAAATTGACTTTCTAGCATTTTCAAGGGAGGGGGATGCTAAATAGCTAATGTATTTGATGCAGACATCATTGACAAACCTTTTAATGGAGTCTGGAGCAGATTTCCTTCTTTGTTGTTAGTTTCCCAATTTATTTAGTAGTTTCCTAGGTTCCCTAGTTTTCTGGATAATTGCTTTCTTCAGTACTCATGTGAACAATTTCAATAAGAGGTAAAACTGAAGGGCTGGAACTTATAGGGCTTTTACATCTTAAAACAAAAGTGTAGATAATGCTGTATATTCCACGATTACTACAGAGATTGCCAGCAACGTGTCCAGTAAATGCAGTCCAGATAGCGGCAACCAAAAACAAAACTAAAAACTAAAAAATTTATAGCTGGTGTGTTGCATAAGGGCAAGAGGACCAAAAGTACTGTGTTGTGAATGTGTATCATCCTGTATCATCCTGATAGCAGCTAATTGAACACAAATGCAATGTTGATTTACAACAGATAACATGAAATCATGCTATGCATAAAAAATATATGATTCTGGTAGTTACAGAGAATATCAATGTCAAATAGTAATGTCTCTAAAATCGAAAAGAAAGTGCATGATGTAATCCTTCCCCAATTCAATGAATGCACATTAGGCACTGCACTACTTAATTAATGTTTGTAAGTCAGCTTCTTGCGCATAGTAAGGCTAGCTATACTTGCAAAGAAAAAGAGGAAATTAATTTTGGAACTGGAGGACCTTTTCTTGGTAATTAATTTTGGAAGAGGAGGACATGCGGGATAGTATGGAAGCATGACTGTAAACAAATGGTGTGAGTAATATATGTTTTCAAACGAATGGTGTGAGTAATATATGTTTTTACTATTTTAGTTTAATCAATTGTGGTTTGTGTGTGTCCCTCTCGCTCCCTATGAAGTGTACGGATCAATGGAGGAGTTAGTTAATCAATTGTGTATGTAGTTGCTTATACATATAGTTGTGGGTTCAAAAGAGCTGCAATGAGTAAATATAATGGTTAAAATTGAAGTAATAATTCCCCAGATTCTACGAAGGTCACATTTTAGGCGGCTTTACAGTTTTCATTTTCCTTCTATTGGCTTTGTTTTGTCTCCCAGTGAATACCTCTGTATTGTCTCGTTTTGTCACTCTGATGGTCATTTTAAGTTACATATGAAAAGAATGCATGTAAATGAGAGTTCCAATTTCTCCCTAAATTATACCCTAGATATTGTTCCCTCATGCTACACTAGCATAATCTCTTTTATTTTGAATTGCTTAGGGGTTGTTTGATAACAATATCATTTTTTGATACTTCTTTTGAAAATTGAAAATTGAAAATATGTTTGGTAACTAATTTTAGTTTCTAGTTTTTTAAAAAGTGAAAACTGATTTCAAAATGAGGCCCAATTTTGAAAACTCCCGAAAATCAATTTCAGATTTTAGTTCACTTTTCACTTTTCATTTGAAAACTCATGTGTAGCCTCTCTCTCTTCAACGAATGGTTACCCTGACATAGGTCTGCTTCTGGTATTTGATTACGTCCATTAGTTTGTAATGAAATCAATGCAGACTTTGATGGTTTTTAAAATGACTGTTCATATAGCTTTATCTTTGATGGCTATCTTGATGATCATGGTGTTGCTTTGTCTTAATAATATTTTCGCTGGTATTTGTGTTAATCATGCTGAACGTGGATGTAGTAGTGAGGAGTTCAAATTCTTATAATTAACACTTATTTAATTTTGCAGGATAGGAGTTCTCCAGCAAGTGCTTTGGAGATTAGGAAAATTCTTGATGTTCTGATGCACGCATCACAATGTCCTTTAGCTCCTGCATCACAGTGTCAGTATCCCAATTGTCGTAAGATTAAGGGGCTTTTCCGCCATGGAATTCAATGCGAGGACCGTGTATCTGGAGGATGTGTTCTCTGTCAGAAGATGTGGTATGTCCTTCTACTTCATGCTCGAGCTTGCAAAGAATCTGAGTGCCATGTGCCACGTTGCAGGTTTGTGGATTAACTTTTTTCTACTACGAGCTTTCAACTTTATCTCTCCTAGTTTTCTCTCCCGACTCTCTTTTTAAGGGTTGTACTATAGATTCTCCTAAATAAATATGCATGCTTTCAGCGATTTAAGGGGACATATGAGGAGGCAGGAGCAGCAGAAGTCTGTGACGGAGATGATGAGCGGATGGAGGTTGTGAAAGCAAGTTTGTGTGACTTTCTTTGGTGGCGTTTTAAAGGCTGGTAGGGAGTTAACCATATGACATGGGTGCGCCCATGTTGTGTAGTAATAGGGGTCTCAGATTAAAACGAAAGACAATCATGTGGATATACAAACAAATGCCAACTGTATCGTGTACACATTTAGAAGTATATACGTATTGCATGTTGTACAATTTACAATTTCGTTAAAATGCGTGTACCTCAAGATCCTGATGATGAAAATCTACAATATGTGGGAAGCAGTTCCAATATCCAATTGAGATTGATGTGACCCAAAGCCAAAGCAGAAGGATGTTATGAAGAAGGTGCCTCATGCAAGCACACTAAAATTAGAAAGTGTCTTATTGTAACAAAAATTGAGACCTAAAATTTAGAAACGGGCCAAGGGGGTCTTCTTGTAACCCAATCGTTCCCTTGGACTGAAGGAATTTTTCGGGGTGATCACTGAGTACAAAGGCTTAAATCCTTGAACCTCATCAATTTCTTGTATTCTCGCCTATTTGTTTGTTTCTTCGAGTGGTGCGTTTATTTGAGTAATGTTACTCTTACCATACCATCTTATGTAACAGATGAAGTGACCAGGAACATCAATTAGAAAGTGTCAATAAATTATAAAAGAAAATAAAATATTAAATTAATTTTAATTCATGTGGCTGTCCATCTTATCTGCCACATAAAATGATATGAAATGTGGTGTCTTCGTTCCACATAAGTGCCTTCAACTTTTAGGATTAGTTTCCATCTGGAATAATGTTATGTTGTGTTTTTCCTTCGATTTTTTCACCTCAAGTCCCTTCCAATATTGTACTTTGCAATCTAGTACTTCATAATATATATATCGTCCATGAGAATATGAGCTGATAAGCATAGGGGGTATCTCTCTTGTTTCTCAGCATGCGATTGACTAGTTCACCAAATGTTGAAAGCCCAAAGAGCACAACCACAAGGTGTGGTCTAGTTGGCAAACTACCACCTTCAGCTGACGAGCTATTTGGTGCCTCAATGACAAGGGTTCTAGAAGCACTTTGTAACTAGGAGCAAGCCGAATCCCGAGCGGAGATTAATCCTACCATTTGAATGTGAGGAAAGCTCGCGGTATTTAACAAAACAAAAAGACCAAAGAGCACGGTGCCCTGCTCAGTAGAAAATCATATACTGGTTTGTTTGTCATTGATTACTTGAATGAATATCATTTATTTAAAATTTGGTGAAATGTTTCAAGTCCAAAGAGTACGTTATTTTGTTGGTAAACTGGGCGCAAAAGCTCAAGAATTAAGTAACTGCTAATGCCAAGATGGGGAAGACTAAAAGAACAAGAGCACATGTTATATATAGCAGAAAACTAAAATGGTTGTCATTCTAACATTAGATTAACATTTACTTGAATTATTACCTATCGAGTTTGTCGAACGGGTATGGAGTTTTGAGGAGGTAGTACTATCCGTGTTAGTGAGTCACTCAGAAAACTATTATCAGCTCGAGTTGTCTGCTAGACGTTGCTATAATCTGATAGCAAAGATGAAAGAAAGATCAATTAATTGGACAAAGGAGATTGTCGAAATGGAAAGGCTTACTGATTACACATGCAATCCAATAAGCTAATGGCTCAGCAGGGTTCTTTTATACATGGAGTCTTACATGACAACGACAAGCCCTCGGTTGAAGTTGAAGCTCTAAGGGGGCACCCGGATGTTCTGCCTCAAGCTTATGACTTGAAGATGAGAACGGTTGCTTATTGGAAGATTGTCTTGCGAAGGTTGGTGGATTCCATGGCTTTGCATTTGCAGTTGACACTTTCAAACCTTGCGGACAAAGAGATAGAAACTGATATTGTGAATGAGTTGGTGGGGCCTTGCGGCGGCAGCATTGAGAGGCTGTTGGAGGAGTCGCCAGCGATTGCAGGGAAGCGTGACAAGGTGAGCAAGACTATCAAAAAGCGAGAAGGATTCCCAGGAGATTCTAGCTAATATTATGAATGGCATTAGTCTAGGTGATTAGCATAGCATGTGATGGTCTAAGCTGTGCGGAGAATTAATATATGTTTTGTTATTTATCGTATATGGAGGATTGGTTGTTTTTCGTTTTCCTAGTTAAATGAAGCTACTTTTGTTTAGGAGTGGTGATTTTCCCACTCCAATTGGTTGTTTTTCGTTTTCCTAGTTAAATGAAGCTACTTTTGTTTAGGAGTGGTGATTTCCCCACTCCAATTTTATCCAATTACACTTTATTTTATAACTAAAAAAGGAGTGTAAGTGGATAAAATTGGAGTGGGGAAATCATTACCTTTGTGTAGTCTCGTTTCTTTTTATTGTTAGCTTATGTGGAGGATAGTTTGGATAAATTTGTACTCTTCATTATTATTATTATTTTAATGAAGAAAAGTTTAGGGGGAGGGGAGGCTATCCCATCCATAGCCAAGGCATACCAAGGCCACTTTGAGGAATTACATAGGGGGTTTTAGCCCAATTTTTAGTTTTACAGATTTTACCAACCAAGAGAGATTGTCGGCAACGGGACTCAAACCTAGACCTTGCTAGCGAAGAGAAAAATCCTTACCAACTCAACCAATCCTTATTGGCGAATTTTTAGTCTTGAATGTGCCTCAGCAATGACAAAATACAAGTGCATGTGCAATCCTTTGGTAACTAAACCAGACCTCTTGACATGTACATATTTTTCTGTTTTATATTCACCCATGCATCATCTAATTTCAAGCAGACGTCCCTGATTCAGTAAGTAATGCAATAATATTTTAAGGTCTGTAAAATTTTATATTATTCAATATTATTTAATTTTTATAATGAATGAAAAATAAGTTTTTCAAGAGTCGTGCGTCTTCAACTAAGATTTGAAATGAGTTCAAAGAAGTTATAGATTAATGGATTTTAATTGATTTCCATAAATTCCACATAGATTTTGGTTGGATTCATATATGAATATTAATTAGAGGTGGACACAGTCGGATTTAGTCTGATTTTCCCACGAATTGGAACCAAAATCAAAACTTACATGATGCCTGCTTCAGTTCGAATTCATAGAAAAGTGTCTGGAAGAACGAAACCAAACCGGACCTATGCGGTTCTAAATTACTATAACGTCCTTAGGCCAAAACTGAAAGCAAACATGAGGTTTGATTACTGCTGAAAATCCAGCTCAATCTCTCCAGGTATTGAACTGTTCAATCTACTTGTATCATTGTTGCTTATCATAATTCTTAGATTAGGAGTTATTTGTTTTCTTTTGTTTTGATTTTTTAGTTATTGTTGTGATGCCTTAACTTGGTTTTATTATATATAAGAGTCAAGGAAATAATTGCTGCACATAAAGAAAAGAAACAAAGATTGTGGGGCGAATTAGCTTCCCCTGGTGTGATCGTCCTTAATTACCCCTTTTTTATTATTATTTATTTTTATAACCTGTTTGATTTGTTTATATATATATATTTAATTGTTTTGGTTTTTTTAAGTTAACCTTTGTTTCTTAGTTAAACCAACAAAGAAAAAACAAATTGTGTTTAGTTTAGTTTATGCACCGTCATTGTTCTGTCCTTGTACAATTAGGCCCCGTTTGGTGAGTTGGCTTGGACTAGTTAGGATGGGCTTGGAACATTGGATTAGTCTGGCTTGGACTGGCTAGGCTTTGAGTCCAGTCATGTTCATTTTTGCACCAAACAACAGACTAAAATAACTTTTATTTATTTAATAAATCAGATTTTTATTTTATTTTCGATTAACAATTCAAATTTCAAAATTTTCGCCTCAAATTGAAGAAAAACTAAGATGAACCGTCAATGACGTCTTGGAATTTACATTGGATTTGATTCTCCATCCATAATTAGATATCTTGAACCTATGACGGGTGGTATGTTTACAGGACGCTTTGCAGATTGCCATTTTGATGAGACAATTTTTTCGTCGTTAGGGGGAGAAAATGTGCCGCTTCCTGAAGAACGAAGTAAAATTACATGGAATGCATAATCATTGTCTCATCTTGATCCACATACAAATCAAAGTGAATGTAAAGTTCAAAGGATCATTCATTTGCAAAGTATAACAAATTAATTACTGGATGCATTTACTGACACAAAGAAAATAACAAAATCTCATATACCGGCTGTAAATACTCTAGTAAGGATTGATGTCCCTGAAGGTCAATGTAATAGTACATTAAAGGCACACTTGAAGCGTGGTCATCCTATTGGTGCTAAAGATAAAAATCCCTAAAAGAAAATGACACAAGAAATGCCTATTCCAGAAGAAGATAAAAATTCAAAACAAATTAGTACTCTTGATTAGCCAAAAACTGATCAGTTTAAAATTGATGAAGATATAGCCCATGCATGTAGAGGCACATACACAAGAAGAAGTACATACATCAGAAGAGATCTCTTTGAATTATATGAGTATAAGAGAAAGCTGGGATATAAAGATAATGAGGATCTTGAATCAAAAACTGTTGAAGAAGGTCGACATAGAAAGGATTGGCCAAAATGGAAAGATGCGATCCAAGCATAATTAAATTCCTTGAAAAATCGTAAAGTATTTGGACCAATAGTCCAAACACCTAAAGGTGTGAAACCGGTTGGATGCAAATGGTTCTTTGTAAGGAAACGTAACAAGAAAAATGAAATTGTAAGATACAAAGCACGGCTTGTGGCACAAGGTTTCTCACAGAGACTTGGAATCAATTATGAGGAGACATATTCCCATGTGATAGATGCAATCACATTACGTTTCTTGATTTGTTTGGTTTTCACAGATTGACTTGATATGAAACTTATGGATGTAGTTACTGTATACTTATATGGAACACTTGAGAATGATATCTATATGAAAATCACAGGAGGATTTAAATTGCTTGAAACAAATTATCCAAAATATCATGATGTGTATTCAATTAAGTTACAACGATCCTTATATGGATTAAAGCAATCTGGAAGAATGTGGCATAACCACCTTAATGAATATCTTATACAAGAAGGATATGTAAATAATCCAATTTGTCCATGTGTTTTTATTAAAAGATCTGGAAGTAGGTTTAGTATTATTGCAGTATACATGGATGATTTAAACCTTGTTGGAATTCCTGAAGAACTTACAAAGATTGCTACTTATTTAATGAAGGAATTTGAGATGAAAAATCTTGGGAGAACTAAATTTTGTCCCACCCTGCAGATTGAGCATTTACCAACTGAAATCTTTATCCATCAATCA